GTTGCAAACCCTCGTAAAAATATCCTATCTTTATAAAAAAAACGAAATGCCATATTTAATAAAAAATATAATATTGCACGTTGTAAAAATGTGAGTTAGCCAATGAATTGTGTCTTGTGTTATATTCACTGATGTAACTAGTTACTAGATTATTTTTATATATACAAACATGAACATTTAGGAAAGATTTGGTATAGATTCATTATTTTAAATTCACTGTATAATTTTTTCGTATTATATCTATACGGTTTACGTAAAATAATTTTAAGATGTGAGTTTATATTTACCTCCAGAATCTTAGTGTAGAATTTATTAGTACATCCCCAGAAAACAATACCATAGACTATTATGGATTGTGCAAGAGAAAAATATATTGCCCTTAAGAGTTCAATTTTCATAAAGTTGCGTTTTAATTTTATTATTATTATTTTTTTTTACAACTGCAATCTTCGACGCAACAAGTAAAACATATAATATTTACATATAAACAATAATAACAGTAGTATGAAGTGAGGGACGGGTCATTGGCATTTCGTTAGTACTATACTTCCGAAGTGTAGTCGCCTGTCCAGAATGAATGTATTTATTAGCGTGAGTGCGCTGCGTGAAAGGACATGGCTGTCGAGGAATATCGAGTACTCCACAGGCCCGTCAAACAATTTAGATTAGGATAGTTTAGTGTATGAGTGAAATTTGTAAATACCGTTTGAATGTATTTATTAGTGTGAAAGAAAGGAGGCCGCAAGATCACGATAATCTTCCGACCTCCAATTTAATTGTAGTGTACGCTAGTAAAATAGTATGAATGTGAATTATGAAAATGTGTATAAATATTATATCTATGAATTCTAATTTATCACGTGTGGGAGAGTAACAACAAAAAAGATAACGAATCTCCTATTAGGTGAATTAGGTGAATCGGAAGGCAACAGTCGTTTAGTTAGGGCATAAGAGGACTCAGAAAAGAATGTACACATAAGATAGCTAAGAAGATAAATGTAAGAAGGCTATATATGTGGGGCGCCGGCGATGACCCTGGTAGTTAGCCGGCCAAAAAAAAATTACGATGAGCGAGATGGACTCCGTCCTAGGAGACCGATGTCAAGTGTTAAGGTTGTCGCGTGGCTACCGACGCTTCAGTCTTCTGTTGGGATTATTAGATAATGTGGTGGATGACAGGTTTTTGACGAAAGGATCCGGATGATGGGGTAGTTTAAAATGGAACAGTATGGATTGGCATTCTATGTGATTGGACACATAGAAAGGAGCGTTGACTATTGTTCTGAGGATTTTGGATTGGATTCGATTGAGGTTGGAACGCTTAGCAGTCCCGCAAAGTTCAAGTCCGTATGTCCAAGGTGGCCAGGAGGGCAATGTAAAGTTTTCTTTTGCTTGAGTTTTGATCGCCTGTCGAGTAGTCGTTTAAGCATGAAAATCGTATGTTACAGTCTGTGCGCTGAAGTCGTTTATGGGGGTTTCACGTCAGTCGTTTGTCTAGGTAGAGTCCGAGGTATCGTGCATGGTTCGCAATTGGGATGGGAACGTTATTGGAGGTATACTAGTGGTATACTGCGTAAAATTCTAAATTAATAAAAGGGATTTCTCAGACGGGAAACCAAAGAATCAATATGTAATTTAAATCTCAAATTCTAATCCAATATCACACTAAGATATCTAACACTGTAAGCAAAAGGGGAAGAAAGGACACATACCATTATCATCACACGTATGAAAAGCAATTTTAAATTATTAGTATCTATTTTCTTTTTCAATGAAAAGTGAATACATTACACATTTTTCTGAAACCTACATCACACCAGACCGCATCTCACTATTTCTAAATAAATAAAAGTAATACATTATATTGTATTTGTATTTAAAAGTAGAAAGTTTGAGTTTAACCAAAAATAAATCGTTTTCATATCATTAGTTATAGTTTTAGTTAAATTAATTACATTATCACCTAAGAAAATGATACAAGTTTTATCTGCATAACTAAATATTTTTCCAGAGAATTTAATTTGCACAGAATTATTAATGTATAAAAGAAACAAAATTGGGGCTAAGAATGTACCTTGTGCTACTCCCGATTCAACGCGAAAGAACTGTAAACTGTTCCGGCCTTTGTGACAAGAGTTCTGTCCGATAAATATGATTCAAGGAGTTTAAGGGGGATATTATAGATTATTAGAATTACAATTAGAGCACATTTGCCTACAAACTAACAACACGTAGTTACAAGTAGAAACAAAGGTTGAAGCTGTTTCAGGATGAGTAATATTCTGCGCCCTTTGAGAACTATTGTATGATTCTGTACCTATAGCACACTGGTGAGTACATCAAGAAAATTTTATCAGTCGTCCCGGTTACAGTGGTTGAATTTCTTCTACGGTTATGTTGTACATCCCAAAGCACTTCCACCTGCGGACAAGTAGCTCCTCAGATTGTTGTGTTAGTAAATGTATCTCTTTTACTTCCTTGCTGAATCATTATTCTTTAAATGCATTCAGTCCGCAGTGTCGTGTTAAAAATCCTCATTCGAAGTTTTTCTTGCTTCCTTTGAAACATTCTGTTGCTCCTAGGATCCGTTCTTGGATTGTTTGAGTTCAATCCTTATTTTCGTCCTGTCTTCTTGTTTAAGATACTTTTTGATAATGTAAATCCCTCTACTCCTTCATGTTCTGGGTTGCAGCAGAGAGTACCTTCATTTGCATACTTGTTCTAATTTAGTTTTGCAATAAAGAACCATCTTTGAGCTAATGTTGTTTGAGCTTAATACTCCGATGGCTGCCTGGTATATGACAAGAAAGCTATGTTCTTGTTTTTGTACTCTTTGTTGCGGTTTCAATGAGTACACCCATCACATGGTTAGAGAAATATTATATCTATAAAAACAGAAATTAGAAAATTATTGAAAATAGGTTAAATGATAAAAGCTCGATTGACATTTCATAATACTAAACTTAAGTGAATTTTAAAAAATTGATTATTTAAAATAATTAACGTTAAACAAACATTATTCAGACGTTAAATAAACCAGTGAATAAAATAAATAACTAGAAACAGGTAAGTAGATAATTTTGTATTAAAAAATCTGAGCGGTGCAATCGCTACTAATGATACATAATCGATTAAGTAGATGGATAAATCTGTAGATAGTGAAACAATTGAATAGCTAACTAGATAGTTAGATAAATAGAATATTACTTACATTTTTTAGCTGGTTGGGTTAATATTGATTACGGATTTCTAATTTATACAGGCCAATTCTATACATACATGCACATATGTGCTGAAGTGAGCTTATGATTTCCTCAGGAAAAGTTAAGCTTCAGGGGCCGTCAATAGCTAGGTCATTTCAACCCCCACACATGCAGTTTTTCAAACACGATACACTCACTTTCATAACACATATTTCACTCAAGTAGGGTAGTGGAGTACTAAATATTCCTCAATTAAACTTTACATATACTATGTAACTAATCTAATGGAGAGTCGATGTGGTATTGAACATTCACGCTAATATATACTCTCAATATTCACAAAACGAAATATTTACAAAGTACTATACACAATAAAACAGTTTCCTTCATAAATCGGTACAGGGAAGTAAAATGCTCGTTGCCGTGCTAAGAACAATTCTCATACCAGGTGGCATTCCTACGCGCTCACTGTGAGGGGCCAAGGAAAAGCATTTTTTAATTAGGTAGGACATATCCAGCAACCATTCTCTGCATGCCGGGCAACTTTGGCCCAAATGTTAGTGTCCGCGGGTCAACCTCACAAGGACTATCCTTAATCGGGTCAGGTTCTACGAGTCAAATCCTCTGAGGGCCACCTCACGCTCTCTATACGGAACCAAAAAATGACACCCTTCAATCAAGAAGGACACACCGAACAATTTCTACATACACATACCATATACTTTTTGGGCAAAAGCAGTGTTCGTGTGTCAATCTCGAATGGCCTATTCTTAATCCGTGAGGATGCTCCTTTTTCTCCGGTTTTATTTTTTACTCTGTAGGGGGCCAACTACTGACCGTGCTCTTGATACGTAACTGCTTCTCTGTCGATCCGACCCACTGATGCTGCCATTCCCTTTTGATCACATTTTTATTGCATTTTTAATATGAGATGGCCGTATCGTGGTGGTTACATTGGAGGTTGGGATGTCCCGGTCTGAGCCGTCTCGTCCTCCTTTTTCCATTACCCTCCAGGCCAGGGGACCCAGGCAACCACCACCGTTTTGCCGAGACGCTCCAGTTCAGAGTAGCTCGACGAGAAGTCACAATAGACAGTCATAAATAGATAAATGTAAGGATATATAACTTTTGAGATAGCAAAAACTATATATCATACGTATGCCTTTGTATAACATATCCAACCAACTAGATAATTGGGTAAATAGAAAACTAGATCAATATATAGTTAGACGAATTCGATGACTAGATCAATGGATATTTAAGAACTGTAGGTAATCTACCGAACTATGATTAAATAGTAAAATACCTAGCCAATCACGACTAGATACTAGATGGATAGCAGCTAGAAATTAATATCTGTAGAAAATAAATGTATTCATTATAAATGGTTATCAGGAAAGGTAATGAGAAGGTAGAAATCTAGATAACTAAACAGTTATTTATCTGTGTTTGAAAAGCAAAAATCACGGTTTTACGTATTGAAAAATTTAGCCAAAATCCCTGCGGCTGGAGTGGATAAAAAAATCCATGATTCACTTACGTTTATAAAATAAACTAATTCACCTTTTAAAGATTTCAAGCACAACAATTTCCACGCCTCATCCCCATAAAAATTGGATCGTCCTCAGCCATCCATCCGATCGATTTAAATCGTCCGATTCGTTCCGTCGCCGTTTTCGTCCCCAACGTTTATTTGTAAGGGCATGAAAAACCGGAGGAAAATTTTGTTTTACCTTGAGTTGATTGCATTTCTGGAGGCGTTGGAGGGGGTGGTAGGCAGTACATATATAAAGCTATCCATTCTTCCTGCGTCCAGTCTTTGTGAGGCCGAGATGCAGCTTTTACCATTCCTGGGTCTTGTCGTCTTCGCGTCCGCGGCGAAGATAAAACGAGGTGCTTTCCCTTTCGCCGGGATTTACCCTGCTATATACACAGTCAACCTTCCGTATCATCTTTCGGTAAGTTCAATTTACAAGAAGCCAAATATTTAAAAAAATATATATCTAACTTGAATAAAAAAACTAGGAAAAAAGAAAAAGAAAATGTAAATCTTCTTGCATTGAAATAGCAATTTGATCCATTCTGTTTCAAACTGTTAAACATTTCATGCATTTGTAAAAGAACTGCTTAAAAACTGGAAAATTTTAAAACCTTAATCAGTATACAGTCTTCTTGTGAATGTGATTTTTATTAATTGTAAATTCTTTTCATACAATTGTGTTTTAATTACTCCACTTTTATATTCATAATTTAACCGTTAATTGTTACATCTAAATTTACTAATTCAAAAATTATACATAGTATTTTTATTATATTTTTATTTTATATTTATTTCAGATGTGGTCAAGATTCATGTTATGTAAATTGTTTATTTAGCCAAAACTGTGATCTGTATATTAGTGTATAAAGTTGATAACAATTAATATTTATTTTGGCTCATTTACATAGAAACATTTATGGAAAATGTCACGAAACTGTTGGAAATATACGATATACGAAATTAGAAATCGGAATTATAATTTCAAGTTCAATGTTCGTTTTTTGTGTAAACGTACTTACTGTTAGAAGTATTAGAAGTATCGACCACTTTTCCACTTTCGAACACTCTGGGTCAAGGTATGGTCCTGGAGAAAAAAGCAAATTTAGTTGTGACTGTATTGACATATTTAAAATCGCCTTTAAAAACTTGAACATGTCAATCTGTAGGCATATTTAACTTTGTTTTGCTCTGATGAAGACCTTAAAATAGGTCGAAATCTTGACAGTAACCGGTGAATTTACTTTCTTCTTCAAGGCCATACCATGATCCAGAGAGTTCGTAAACTTGCACACAATCTCTCCCTCTCTTATTCTCTCTCTCTCCCTCTTTTTCTCATCCCTCATTCTCACACTATCTCTATCTTTATCGAATTCTATTTGTTTTTTTCTAGTAACCTCAATAATTTTTTTGCCTATTTATCTTCCATATCGCAAACGTTTTTGCTGTTTTCTTACTCACACTCTCCTTTTCTCCTTCACTATTTTATATCTCTTCGCTGTTAATCGCATTTTTCTCGATTTGCCAAGTGATAACACTTTCATTTCCTTCCTCTCCCTCATCTCACTCTCTCGCCCTCACTCTCTCTCCCCCCTCTCTCTCTCTCGCTCTTCCCCCATCTATTTATCTATCTATTTATTTAGCTCTTTCTGCATCTTTCTATACCTCATCTTTGACTGGTCCATCCATTTCTATCTAACTCTCTCTCTCTCTCTCTCTCTCTCTCTCTCTCTCTCTTTCTCTTTCTCTCTGTCTCTCCCCCTGTTTCTACCTGTCTGTCTGTCTATCTCATGTTAATAAAGAGCCCTAACTTTGCATGGAAAAATAAAATACTTCATCATTATCTATCTGTCTGTCTGTCTGTCTGTCCATCTGTCTGTCTCTCTCTCTCTCTCCCTCTCTCTCCCTCTCTCTCTCTCTCTCTCTTTCTGTATTTATATACCTATCTACCAATCGATCTATCAATCTATTTACCTATTTATCTATTTATTTCTCTATGTGTAACCATCATCCATTTCTTTATTATCGATCTATCTACATTTCTATTCCTATCAGCTTCGTTCTCTCCCCCTCTTTTTCTCTTCTTCTCTTTCTATGTCTCTTTGTATCTATCTATTTCTCTATCCGTTCTCGCATTCTCAATTTCTCATTCGTCTCTCTTTCATCGCTCTATTTTCACTTCGGTCTACTAACTATGCCCTTATTTGTTCTTTTCTCACTCTCACTCACGGGATTTCTATCTATTTCTATCTATCTCTCATTTTATTCCTATTATGCCCCTTAAATTTTTATTTTCCTTTTACTGTAAATTTCTCTTACTCATTTGTGTCATATGAAATTAGAGTCTTACTCATTGAAATTAGAGTTAATATTGTAAATGTTTATGGGAATAGTTAAGTCTGCTGAAAAATAACAAACCTCATCAAGAAACTATGCTCATATTGAGAGAACCAGAAAAGCATACTGGTGGGAAATTGTATCCACTATTCGATTTTGGTGGAAAATTTTAAATTTTAAGCTATTTTCCGAATGTTTCTTTTTACTTCAACCACAGAAATAATAAACTACCCCAGGAATTTGAAATGATTTGTGGATGGAATTTATAATATGCCAAGCCAAACGAACGATCTTGTATCAAAAGGAGCAGAATGTGAAACTTCGTTTCTTGTAAGCATTTTTTGACCATTTCGCTTATTGAAAAGTTTACTTTATATATAAGTTACCGTGTGCGCGTTACCACGAATAAACCTGAATCCTAAAAACAATAAGATTTCTCACCCACTTAAAATTTGATAAGAACAAAGGTATTAAATTTGAACCTGCAGTCTAATTGGTTTCCTGTACTTTTAATAATAATCTGGATTGTATATTTTTTTTTACAATTCTAGCGTCACACCCCTTCGGTTCGAAGGACGACTTCTCGGTCACCTTGCACCTTAAAGAGAGGGTTAACTTTTAATTTCTCAGCGTCAGGGTCGTATTTTACAAAATTACAGCGAATAACGGAACTCTGGGAGCAACATGCCATTTGCTTTCAATAGGTAGTTTACAGTTAAAGATTTTACCGCCGATAGTGGGACAAAAAGTAAAAAAGTTTAACCCCCTGAAAGTTCCTTGTAATGCAATAATGCGTAGTAATGTCAAAAAGTAAATTTATATAGTGATTTAGATATCAAAATGTATTTTTTAGGACTCAAGAACAAAGACCTTTTTTTGTTTATAAGGAAATAGACTTTAATTAATCTTTGGATTTTAGAATGTGTATTTTTCATAGAAAAGTTTGATTTTGACTAATTTGATATTGCTTAAAAGTGTACTTAGGATATTTTAATTTGTATGATATTGATTGGATCTAATAAAAATTTACTGAATTGTAAGAAAAAAGATATTTTAGAAGTATTTACTTCTTGTGGTGGTTTCCTGTCCGTTAAAATAAACCATGGATACCTACTGAGTCCACTTCTATCAGGGGTGAACTCGATATTGGCATAAAGTTAGAAAAAAACATAAAAATTGTGTTTATTCAGTATTAATTTAGCGAATTTTAGATAAGGTAAATAGATTTTCTAGTGAATATTTCCTATCTGTGAAGAAAAAATCTTCTTAGCCATTTAAATCTTACAAAGAAGAACATGTCGTGGGTTTTCATGAAGATATAAAAATGTATATTTTAAGAACCTGGAAAAGAAATGTTTTTGAGCGATTTATACAGGATAGGATTGAAATATTTCATTTAAATACTTAGTCGAATTTTACCAATTGACCACAACAATTTCATCTTTTTAGCGTGTGACATCATGAAAAATGTCAAACTAAGAGGAGAATTGTTATACTTGAAATTCAAACCCTGGGTTTTGAATGATCCTCAAGATGAAACTTGTCCACTTTGTAACAGCCTCGCCAGGGAAGATTCATATCATTTTTTGGGAGTCTGCTCTCTTCTCTCAGAATTGCGGGTATCTTACTTGGGTAAGACAGTCATCTCCAGAGTTGAAATACTGGAATATCTTTCTAACAAAGTATCCCCTTTACCGTTAATTTCCTTTGCTCGGCACGCCTGGAGAGTGAGATACGAGTGGCTTTCAGATATGCAATGATTGTAGTCCCTGTACATATACTTTTACTTTTACTGCTTTGTTTTTTAACACTCTATCAGTTCTCAATAGGTAATTTGTTCTGATTTAATTCTTTTTGTTTCCTTCTTTTTTTCTCATACTTCCATCTATTATGTTTCATACACCTGCTATATGTTAATTTTCTCTTCGAGTTTTTTGTTTTTGTTTTAATATTCCTGTATTTGTAAGCTTTTAAGCAGTAAACTCAGCAGACGGCTATTAGCCATGCTTATTATACTTTGTATCAGTATTTCTATTTTCTCTGTATCAATTGTAATAAAGTATTGTGTATTGTATTGTATTGTATTGTATCATGAAAAATGTCAATTTTATCTTTAAGATCGTTACTGAATTAAGAAATTTTTAAAGTAAACTCGTGATTTAGCTTCGTTTCAATAATAAATTCATCTTATTGAAAAATTCTTTTGTTTTGTACATGCCAATGGTTTGCCAGATAAAAATTCTAATGTTGAAGAGAGTTAAAAAAATATAATTATAGGTGGATTGTTGGTTTAATAGACGTTTATTTTTTCAGCCTGTGCCACCGTTGACCGCGGTCGCGGAACTACGCGGCTACGGAGATGTTGAAGGCAGCGACGGGGTTAAGGGTAAGTCATTCATAATTGACTTAATTATCATTAAATCCTTAAATCCTTCTCCAGGAGAGTGACTCGTCTCAAGGACCATCGCCGGGCCTATTTCCAAGTCCGTGATTTATAGTAATAAGGGATTAAACACCGTGAAATCCGCCGTGTCGCTCCTTTTGAAGAAAGAATTTTAAGGATGGATTGTACAAGCGAGGCTTGACGAAGCCGTACTATATTAGACTGTTCTTTGATGCATTTCGTATTGTAGGTCATATATACTGTTTTAAATCCGGACTTATGTTTACTTGGATTTTTTGATGAATTATGAAAAAATTCAATAATTAATTTAGGAAATTATGAAAACTTCATATCTCAATGGTGTTCTGCTTAGTGTTCAGACTAGCTTAAATTAAAAGGAAAATAGCCTTGAAACTTCATCATAAATGTTTGTATATAGAGCATATCTGACTAATTAATATAGTTAATTCAATAATATTTTAATATTTAATGATGAAGTACAAAATGATTGGCGTTGGAAGAAAAAGCACTGGTTTTGGGTGAAAATTATGAGCTCGAGATATTTTTATTTTTGTTTAGCTTTAAACGAATTTTGACCCTAATTTATTTTCATGAAATACTTTGTTTTATAAACTTTATGAGTTAGAGCATATCATAAATATTTTTTCTCATAATACGGAGGTTTTTAGATCTTACAAACATTTTTGATTTTTTTAATCTTATTTTTTTGTAGGATTCCAGGTGTATACATTATTTTTATATATTTTTATTTTTTTAAGAATGGTATTCTTTTGTCAGGGTTACTCCAAGAAACACATGATTTTGATGTAGGTTATTTATTTCACAACTATATTTCGGGCTGTTTTTCTGCCCATCATCAGGAAACTTTTAGAAGAGGTACAGTCATTTAGTTTACATCATAAATCATTAGTAATTCATTTCTTTTACATTATTTTTATTTTATGTTAAATCAATATCAATTACCTACGATAAGCGAGACAGCTAGATAATTGATATTGATGTTTTTAACCATAAAATAAAAATAATACTGTAAATAAAATTAATTACTAATTTTATACTGTAAACTAAATGACTGTACTTGTAAAGGTTTTTCTGATGATGGCCAGATAGAAAAAGAAACAGCCCGTAACGTAGATGTGAAATAAATAGCCTATTCAAAATCACGTGTCTCATGGACTAACTTTGCCTAACGAATACCTTTTTTAGAAGCAAAATATATGTATAAAATTTTTTTTATAAGGGTTTGCAACAGCAAGGTCATATCAACCCTCAGAGTGCTGGTGTTTTTGAAAAAAAAAAAAACAAAAAAAACATTTGTAAGTATGTTGGGTTCGAATGCAGAGCCGCAGGTTTCGAACCCCGGACCTTTACCTTACAATGATGAACTCCAAGTAACGCCTAAACCGTTGCTGCCAACGAGCCCCATATATAAGTTGATTTGATAGTTTGTAAACTTGACTCTGAAATTACATACAGTAGTAATAAAAATCAACATTACAACATAGGTACTCGAATATTTCATAAAATCAGGAAGTTCCATTTACAACTCACAGTTTAAGATCATTTTATCTTAAGTGTAACAGGAACACACATCGATATCTTATAGCACTTAAGCCTGGACTTCTCTTCCGTCAGCTGAGGTGGACCTTTAGGCTTTTTGTACATTTACTTATTACTGAACCCACATACTGTACAACTTAATTTCAACTATTTAAAATGCATAATTCATTTCCTTAACTTATTACGCATTTAAAGCATGATAAAATGTTTTTTCCTTAAATGCCTGCAACTAAGCGCAGATTACATAAAGTAATTATATAAATATATAATAATTTAATAAGAAATCTACGCAATAAACAGCAATAACAATTTCACAATAAATATAAAATAATATAAATGTACAAAGTAATTACAAATAAATATTAAATGAATACATAAACTAGTTAATTTACATCCAACAACTTCCTTCTATTATGCTACTTTCTATTTGCCCATTTATCTATTTATTTTTTAAACTTACTTTTTTTGCTTTATGTATGTAGTCAATCAATGTAGTCCACCCGGATACTTTCCTACTATCCTTTAAGCTTATTGAGGACTATTTGAAGGTTATGTGAATAGACATAGACATGTAAATAAGTTTTTGACCTCCAGTTGAGAATGGGGAAAATGTTATTTATTGATGCTAGAGCGGTTGAGCATTTTTTCTCGACATGGAAGCAAAAATTTATTATTATCGTCCAAGTAAATACCAGGGTATTTAAACCTGGCCGACTTTAGGATCGCAACCAACCTTTATGTAATGATTTATTATGGATCTACGCGTAGAAAACAAAATAGTTTTGCTACTTGGCCTAATTATCTTCTTTTTGAAGAATTTGAAACAGTTTTTTAAATTAATTTTTGTTTAAAGATATTTCGGTATGAGCCTCGTATAATCGCAGTGTCATCTGCAAACCCTGCTAAGACCAAAGAGTATTTGAAGAAGTGTTTTATATCGTTAATAAAAATTGTATTAAGTTCAGATGGTACACACAAAGATCTACAAACTCACCACGGAATATCAATAAAAAAAATTACGTTGACGTTGGTATGATTCAGCTCGGAGTGTCAGAAGGGTTATTCTACATGAGCAACCAAAATTGAGAATAAAATTCATTTTCTTGGAGTTTAAATTCGAAGGAAGAGGGTGAAGTGCTATGCTGCATCATTAGTCAACATAAATATGGACAATCAAAGAAATGTGGAACGTTGGTTTGAAAAATTGTCAAATGTCTCACACGTCTACACTACACAGGGCCGTTTGTATTGTATAGTACCTGCAAACTTGTCTGTAAGTTACAAAAACATCATTGCTGTTGGTTTGCAACATACCTTATAATTTTAAGTCTGCTCCAGAATCCTGCCTATGTTGTCAAACAAGCTTTTCCTTTCTTGTGTACAGCTTAATATTCTAAACTTTCCCTCTCCGAATATTTCCACATAGGGACAATCCTTAATTTTAATTAATTAATCTTTAATTAAGGTTTTGGTTGAGATAAAAAAGTCAGTGTCATACGGGATTCGAACATGGGACCTTCGGCTAAATACGCCGCTGCTCTACCACTTGAGCTGTAGTGACTTCGATCCACTCGGACACCAACTCCCCACCTCGAAAATTCGAACGATTGTACGTTGAGAGGGAAGTTGGTGGTCCGAAGGTCGTGGGTTCGAATCCCGCTCGTTACACTGCTTTTCGTTTTAACCAATACCTTACCCAAAGATTAATTAATCGTCAAAAAGAATGTTTTTTGTAATTATTCGATTAATTATATATTCTGTAGATGTCTTACTTATTTGGTTATTACGGAGTCAAGTCATCGTTGGGGAAACCGACTCTAGTTTTGTAAAGAATGATCCCTTGCTGGAACTCGTGTACCTGCCCTGTCAGTGTTCTTTAACCTTATTTTTCATTTTTTTTCGTAAAACCCAGTAGATGGACTTTTAAATCAAGACATTTTTCCCTGGTTGATTGCCCATTTGGTCAAATGCCCACTCTTTCATGACTGTCTGATATTATGCTGTATTTATTAAATGAATAAAATATATTTATTTTTTTATATCTTTTACAGGACGTGTCATGTTCATTCAAACTGTCGGCGGAGCAGTCCTGATGTCAGGAAATGTTACAGGACTGTCTTCTGGAGCTCACGGTTTACACGTTTACGAATTCGGAGACACGATGGAAGGATGCAAATCGATGGGGGCTCACTACAACCCCTTATTCGTAAGTCCTTTATTAAAAATTACAAAAATGTAATCCAATGTTGACAAATGTTCACCGTGAGTTCGGTTGTTTTTGAACCTTGTACATGACTCGCCGAGAATGAAGAGGACGTGCTCTCTGTGATGTGCCCCATATTCTTCCCTTCACTTCACAATTGCGCAATAGTTTCGAAACCGACTTGGCGTAATTTCTGCAGATTTGTTCTCTTTTATTCTACAGCGTTTACCCATTTTACGCAAATGACGTGAGTGTTTGCATGGTTGATTTACTTCCAGAGGATTATGCAATGCGTACGGGATAACGGAAGTAACGAGAAGATGTGGAAAGTTGCAAGTATAAATGAAAAGGGTGGGTGGTATGATGCCTTATGTATTGCTTTGTGATGCAACTGGTCTGAATCGGCTAGTATGCCTTTTTTGCCAATGTATGTTTAAAATGAGAGCCAGAGGTTGTCACTAATACAATCAAAACATGACAGATACTACGTTTAGTGATTGGTGTATTACCCCTACATCAAAGGGCGTACAGTTCATCAGTTTTGCAAGAATTCCGAGTCATGATGGTTTAGCGTAATTGCTCAGCCGTGAAATTAAGAGCAATTTTCTTTTCTTTTACCATGGTTTGTAAACGCTTGTTCAAATCATTATTGCAACGATTCTATAGTTTGTAACTATGTTATTTATTTAAGTCATGGAAGTATATTTTCACGCAGATATAATTTTCAAGACTTGTACAACTATTTTCATAACGTGCGCAGTTAAAATTTTCTAGAAATTGTCCGTATTTCCAGGTTAACCACGGAGGACCGGCTGATCCGTACAGGCATGTCGGTGATCTGGGCAACATCATGGCCGGGGAAGACGGAGTCGCTAAGATCCAAGAGTCAGACCACCTTATATCCCTAGGGGGTCCACACTCCATCGTCGGTCGTGGTCTTGTTGTGCACCAGAACAAGGATGATTTCGGCCGTGGCGGGGACAAGGAAAGCCTGAGAACCGGTAACGCCGGAGGACGTGTCGCCTGTGGTGTGATCGCCTGGGCAATGCCGCCTCCACCTTACCGGCCACCACCGCCCCCAGCACAACCAGAAAGCACAAGGGAAGAATGATTATGATAGATTTTTGAATAAAATATCTTGTAAAATTTTATTTTGTAAATAAAAGCCTGTTAAACAGTATGATAAGTTTGTCAATGATATACATTTTTGGTACTATGAATATTGTAGTGCTAAACATGGTCCGACCAACATCCAAGAATTTACTAAAAATTTACACTGATTTGGGACTACATGATGGCCACTCTTAACATTGAATAGATGCTCGTACCAAGTAGTGACCAATGATCCTAACTGTGGGGACTTGCAAGTCATGCATACAAATAAAACCGTCAGAAATTAATGGCTTATAAGGAACAACTTCTGATAACACATCTTCAATGTATCGCAGATCTGTTCGGGAATCCTTGATGAAGATCAAGTTTATACAGCCTTCCATAGAACTGCTTATCCACACCACAACACTACCACCTCCAATAGCTTTTTAAGGTTCAGAAAGTTGCGGGGATATACGCTCTTCTGGTCTATTCCAAACCCTTCTTTTGGCCATCAGAAGACATCAAACAAAACCTTGACTCATTTAAAAACAAAATTTTCGTCTAATCTTGCTCAATTGATTTCAAGTGATCAAGTGATTTCTTGCAAAACCTAACCTAGCTGTTCTGTGTTTTGTCAGAAGTTGTGGACCAGTGGCAGATCTTCTCATATGCAATTCACCTTCTGAAAATCTTCGCTTTACAGTGTGTAAACTGATGTTAAGGTTAGGGATGGTTGTTGAAGTCGTTGCTTGATTTCTACAGCGGTGGAATGTCGATTATGGTGTACCTTCGAAACAAAACAATCAACTCTCTGAGAGTGATGTGGTGTCGACCTGATCCATGCCTTCTTGAGTAACCTCCAGTATCTTGACAGCGAAAGAAGACCCGGCAGTTGTTCTGGGAATGACTTTTTCCATCTTCCAACTAGGCTATGATTCTGGCTGAAACTGTATCACTTCAACCATCACTTGAACAAATTTGAAATTTAAAAATGTTACAACTTAAAAAAACCAAATCACCGGAATGTTAGATAGAAGCTTTACAGAAAAACCAACAAAGAAAAGATTGACTACTCAAAGATTACTTAAAAAATCCAATGGAAACACAAGTGGGAGATTTTCTCTGTGTTTTATTTACCTCAAATCCTTTAAAACATACCAAATTCTAATCAATGGAGGACTATAACCATCACCCAAAACATTTGAAACCAAAACTTAAAATATCCAACCACCAGAATGTTAGAAAGAAGATTCACAGAAAAACCAACAAAGAAGCGATTGACTATTGAAAGATTTATTTACAAAATCCGGTTTTAAACATAAGAGGAAGATTTCATCCGTGTTTTATTTACCTCTAATCCTTTAAAATGGGCCAAACATTGTTGTAAGATAATTACTGGAGGATTGTCTAAGAGATGATTCAAAATATTAAGGGTGGCCACATTTTTGCCTCGCAGTATATTTTATGAGCTAAAATAAGATAAAAGAAATTGACTGCGGATGTATATTATTGCCTCAGGACAATAATTGATCACTAAGAAAACACATCTTTACAGGATTCTGATTTTTAAGTTTAGACATTTGATAAAGATTCAATTTTTTTAGACACTTTTTTTGTTGTGCCAACCAAAAAATTAGTTTCATTCAGTTTTTCTATTTATCTAGGAAGTTCTTTCAACTACTGAACAATCCTGAAAATATCTGAATCGTATAGGAGATGATGATGCCAAGTGGTTAGGATGGCAAACTTGCATTTGTCAAGTTAGCAGTTCTAGGTTTGCATCCCAGCATAGCACATCATTTTTCAATTGATCATATTATGAAAAAAAAATTGTAAAATGGTTTGGCCCCTTATTTGAGACACCCAGTTGATACTTAGACATTAAATCTCTTCCGTGTGGCAGGAATTACTTTACTTTACTAATACAAAATTAGACTTTAAATCATACATTTTTAATGTAACATAGGAATAAGAAGGATCTCTATTGGGTTTTCTGTCCCCCGATTCCATTATGATTGTTAATTTATGATTAAAACACCAATAAATCAACTTTTATTAAAAGTTGAATTCTCACAGTCTGGAAAGTTCAGGAAGTTCCGTTCTTATTTCATTGAGTTCGTTAGCCAGTAGATTGCAGTAGCTGCTTAAACATGGGCTTCACGAATTGAAAATTTGCAATAATATTGTTTATATTGTTATAATGAAATAGAGATTTTTAAAATAAAAACTTAATGTTTAAACCTTAACATTAATCTTTTTTAATTTTTATAGACTTTCAAATAATATCAATATTAATTACGTTAATTTTAACTACTACAATATTCAATTGTCTTAGCTGTTGTTAGTTTATGATGAAATATGAATAAAATAATTGTGAGAAGTGTGTATTCAAGTGTTCAATAATTTGTTGAATTGGTGAGGAGCGGTTATTATTTTAGAAAAACACCTTTTTCATTTTTTTTACCGACGTTTCGACCTCGGGTCATCTTCAGGGCCTGGGTGGCCTACAAAACATATGTTGATTGGAAAAATACAATACGGATGTAAGTATAAATTTTTAACCAAGTATTCATACTCACATAAAGCGTGGAGCTATTCTTGTGGTGTCATATTGGTTTTCTGTGAAATTATTGTGAAACGTGAATTTGAATTCTGCTGTTTTTAAATTATATGATTGTGACGGGTGAGGAACGGGGTAAATCTGAGAAATTTTCTTTGAACATAGGCGGTTATATTTGACTCAAAACAACTCGAGAATGGGGATTCGGGGTTTATTCAATATTGGAAAGGAAATTATACTGGATTAATATTTAATTATACTGGACGATAACGAAGGAAAGGGAAATATAAAAATAAAGTTTAATAGTTTATTACTTTATTACGTTGCCGTAGCTACGGCCGAGTTCTGTAATCAATGCTGTGTATGTCTCTGTTAAAGTAAACCATTTCTAGAAAATAGAGTTGTTTTCCAAAATGGTGTATGGCCAATGCTTTCCGATTTTTTTCCGATTTTCCAGATCTTGCGATGTAATTCCAATGTATGTAGCTGGAAAGTTTTTTCAACTAATTTTATAAATTACATCGGATTTCTAAGCTGTTGGTCTTGGTCTTTGATTTTGAAAAAAAGTGTATGCACTGTTTTGTAGCTTTTAAGATTATGAGGAGAGATATGTACTGATTTGTGTGGCAATGTGTGGTCGAATGGAAAGGTCATGAATATTGGTTTGTCTTTGTGTGATTGTGTTGATGATGTGTTGTGTATTATGGACGATGTTGCTTTGTGTAGTGCTGTGCTATAATTGTTTATGGTTTTGATTAGAATAATAAACAATACATAAATAATTTTTTTCTACAATTAGAAAATGAATTATGAGTTTTTAATGAATTGACTCACATTTTCGTTTTTCTATAGAAATCTTTTTCTATACAGGGGCTATCAAAATAACATACAATACGTGTTAAATTTTTTTAGACTAGTTTCAAATTTTTTCCTTTTTTTGGAGAACAATTATACAGGGTACTTCAGGCCCAGTTCAACTTCAAAATTTCAAATACGACACTATAAATCCTGACACATCATTTTAATTGTAAAAAATGACAAAGTTATGGCAAAAGGTTGAAAAAAACAGACATTTGGTTCGCAATTGATCACATTTCATGTTCGAACTGCCTGCCTGGTGCAAAGCTTGGCTCTTTTTAACCACTCTTCAGCGGTGCTCAGAACACTAGAGTCAGGGGAGATGGATTGACAAGCATTTTCTATCCTTTGCCGCAGGTCTTCAACTGAGGTTGCTGGGTTATGATTGGTCTAGGCACTGTTTTTTAAATGGCCCACAGAAAATAGTCAAGTCGAGTTAAATGACGGATGACCCATGAGGCCGACAGATCGGGCCATGGGTCCTATCCACCTATCCAGGAAGTGACGATTCAAATAACGTCTCACCTACAAAGAATTGTGTGCGAGGCAACCATCATGCTGGAGAATCATTCTTTGCCGTTGGTGCAGAGGAACATCATCTAACAGTATTGGTAAAACCTCCCTCAAAAAAGAAACTGAGCACTATTTAAATTATTTTCATGGAAATAAGGCCCAATTAATTTATTTCCGAGAAGTCTACACCAAATGTTGATATTATAAACCACCTGAAGATGACGAGAGTTCCTCGGATTTTCCTCTGGCCATGTTCGAAAATTCCAAAGGTTTAGTATGCTATTAGAGGTGAACTTGGATTCATCAGTCCATATGATCTACGAAAGAATGTATTTTTCATCCTCCCAAAACGACCTTTGTGCAAGGAACGTTAGTCGCCTGTCATAATCAGAGTTCCGAAGTCCTTGGACAAGATAAGAGCATTACTGCTTATAACTGTAAGTCCGGAGTACATAACTAATTTTATTTTTTTAAATCCTAAAACCCTTCCAACATTTCGGAGAGAGGGATTCGGATTTTCGGGAACTCCAGTAAAATATTCAGTCGAAATAACGCTGTCGGTTTCTTTTTGCCACAACTTTGTTAAAAAAATCCGATTGCACCATTGTTTTTCAGCATAATAAATCCTTTAAAATGATGTGTCAGGATGTACAGGATCGTTTTTGAAATTTTGAAGTCGAACTGGGCCTAAGGTGCACTGTAAAATTTTTCTCCAAAAAAAGGTAAAAATTTGAAATATTAAAACGTATTTTTTAAAAGTGTCTTTGAGTCAAAAGAAATTCAGCCGGGCCATCTAAAAAGGACACCCTGTATATTAAGTCAACCAATTCTACCATTGATTTTTGCAGGCCATCATAATTGAAACAAAAGTTTGATTATAAAAATACTTCAATGAATGATAATGCAGAAGGCATTTTTATATTAAATTAAATTATATTTAATACATACACAAATACACCTGAAATTTGGCAAATTCATAACATTTTGTTATTTTCTATGTAGCTACTTATTTTTTCTTTCTTTGTCTACTATTTATATATACCTTTGCAAAATTGGCCTTTTTTCAAATATTTTCGAAAAATAGTTATTTTCTTGTATTAAATTATAACAATAGAAATTTTACTTACTAGAAAGTGTTAGGATTTTAAGTGT